TACTCCAAAGGTTTAGGAAGAGCCACAGTCAAGGGGCCAAAGGGCTTCATGTGGCTTGCAAGCTTAAAAATATCTTCAGCTGGAACTGGTTTGGCTCAGTGGATAGAGCGTCGGCCTGCAGACTAGGGGTCTCCCGGGTTCTTCCGGTCGGGGGCATGTACCTGGCTTGTGGGCACATCCCCAATCGGGGATGTGCAGAAGGCGGCTGATCGATGTTTCTCTCTCATCGATGTTTCTGACTCGCTATCCCTCTCCCTTCCTCTCTGTAAAAAATCAATAAAATATATTTTAAAAAAATATCTTCAATGCAAGGTATTTTCTAGCTCCCTTCAGGCTCAGACACCTGCCCTGCCAGCTGGAGGCACTGCTTGTATTAGCCTAAGTCAGTGGTTCTCAACCTTCCTAATGCTGTGACCCTTTAATACACTTTCTCATGTTGTGGTGACCCCCAATTCTTAAAAAAAAACACTTTAAAAATATCTTCAGCCGGGCCGGAGCCAGTTTGGCTCAGTGGATAGAGCGTCGGCCTGCGAACTGAGAGGTCCCAGGTTCGATTCCGGTCAAGGGCATGTGCCTTCTGACAATCTTAGGTAACCCCTGTGAAAGGGTTGTTTGACCCCCACAGGGGTCGCAACCCTCAGGTTGAGAACCGCTGGCCTAAGTGAAAGCAGCAGAGAAGGGCTCAGCCACCTCAGAATTATTGCAATGATGAATTTTGGTTGATATAAGCCACTAAACTTTGGGGTGTTTTATTCCACAACAAAGATTAGTTGTAAAAGAAAAGAGTTCCTGAGATTGAGGTGCTCAGTAATAAAAATCTAATGCGTGTGACATGCCTTGGGGCTGGCTGGTGGATAGAGGCTGGAAGGAGACTGTTAGTGGTTGCTGCAAGCAAAGGAAATAGGATGGAAGTCTGGACAGACAGGAAATCTTGTTTTTTGTTTTTGTTATTTTTTGCATTTTTTGGAAATCATGTTATGATCTAGGGAAAAAGTTCACAAACCTTTTGCTAATAGCACATGAAGCAGAAAAACCACCTGGGCAACCCATAGACTCATAAGAAATACTGAATATTGTTACATAAAGAGGATCAGTTTCGGGTAGTTTTACATAACAAATAATGAACTTGTGATTCTGACTGTTAAGGACTGGATTGTGTCCCCTCAAAATAGATATTTTGAAGGCCTAACCCTAAATATGTCTGTATTTGGAGATAGGGGGTTAAGGGAGGTCATTAAGGTTATATGAGGTCACAAGAGTAGGGTCCTAATCTGATAGAAGTGGGGTCCTTATAAAAGGAGATAGAATAACCTGTCTGTACATGTTCTTGAAGTTTTATTTGCATAATATAAAGAATAATGTCTTTCTGAGTGAAGTCAGAAATGTTTATTTTTTTATTTTTTATTTTTTTTAAAAAAAAAAATATATTTTATTGATTTTTTACAGAGAGGAAGGGAGAGAGATAGAGAGCCAGAAACATTGATGAGAGAGAAACATCCATCAGCTGCCTCCTGCACATCTCCCACTGGGGATGTGCCCCAACCAAGGTACATGCCCTTGACCGGAATCGAACCTGGGACCCTTCAGTCCCCAGGCCGACGCTCTATCCACTGAGCCAAACCGGTTTCAGCAGAAATGTTTATTTTTGATGTGTTAAATTTTGGAATAGGTATTACATGAAATAACAGGTGTGTAGTAAAAAAACAGTAAGGAAATTTAATTCAAGTGTTGGCAACACTTGTTTTAGTAATGCAGTTTTATCATAATTTTCTGTAAAAGGTTCATTTTTAAGCAATGCTGTTCTCCTAAATGATCACATGTTTTAGTCATCCAAGTCTCATATCCCAGATTGTGTCCCTCTGAAGGACTCTGGAACTCAGCCATGTTGAGTCTTGATCTCTCTGGGGAATGAGTAAGGGAGCAGGAAAGGCTGCTGGTATGAGTATCAAATTGCCCAGCTATTTAGGGAGAGTTGTGTGTTTCACCTTCTAGTGCAGCAGGTTCTAAACCTGTGGGTCGTGACCCCCTTGGGGATCAAACAACCCTTTCACAGGGGTCACCTAAGACCATAGGAAAACATATATAATTACACATTGTTTCTGTAATTAATCACTATTCTTTAATAATGTTCAATTTGTAACAATGAAATTGGGGGTCACCACAACATGAAGAACTGTATTAAAGGGTCACGGCATTAGGAAGGTTGAGAACCACTGTTCTAGTATTTCATCTCACATTGACCATTGCAACTCTTTGTTTAAGGAAAGTGCTTTCATGAATTTCAATTGCAGTCATGTTCCTGTGTTCAAGCCCCTCTCCATCTGCAGCCCTTCACTGAGATCCCAGTCCCTACAGAGTTGATTGAGCCTCACTATCAATGTCTGCTTGCATGGCCCGTGGGAAGGTGGGGACAAATTAGCTCCTGACATAACCCTTTTCAACTGTTTCCAACACATGTGGAAATCTCTCTGAGTGCTTTCATAATACATTTGAAGCTAACTGTGAGTCACTGACCTCCAAACATCACCATTTGGACTGGAGAGGAATGTTGTCAAGCAGACATCACTGCCAGAGGGTGTTTCATTCCATTTTAAATTTTAATGAGAAACAGGATTGTCTGAATGTCGTAGATCACTTTTTTAAAATAATATTTTTTATTGATTTCAGAGTGGAAGGGAGGAGAGAGAGATAGAAACATCAATGATGAGAGAGAACCATTGAAAGCCTGCCTCCTACATGCCCCGCCACTGGGGACGGAGCCCACAACCCAGACATGAGTCCTGACCAGGAATCAAACCCAGGACCCTTCAGTCCACAGGTCGACACTCCATCCACAGAGCCAAACCGTCCATGAAGATAGTGTTGTAATGTACCCTGCGAATCACACAAGGACGCCTCAAGAAGTTGAATTAAAGAGTCACATTTATTGCAAATCCGGGACTATGAGGGGGCATTTGGCTCTCCCAGATCTCATAGTGCCCTCCCCAGCCCCAACACCAGACTTATATAGGCAAAGATCACAAAGGTATTGTTTACATCCCAAGGTTTGGAATGAGGAACCTGCTTTGCAAAAAATCAGTTTATAGAAGCAGAAGCAGTTTACTTAAGCATGTTATCTAAATTATAGTTTTGGGTCCCAGGATCACTGAAACACATTATCTAGAGCCCTCATGTCAGAATGAGGAACCAGGTTTGCAAAAAAGCCATTTATAGAAGCAGACTTAAGCATGTTATCTCAAGTACAGTTTTTAGGTCCCTGGAACACTGAGTCAACAGGGACACTTTAACTGGAGCCCTCTGACCTTGGGATAACTGTGCTGTCCTTCCCAAGTAAAGGAAAATGTGCTTTCTAAGACCAGTATGACCACAACCAATGGGATTTCACATTATAATCAATACGGTATTTAACCGAATGGGGTGATTTATTATAATTCAGATAATTAGAATAACTTTTCTATTGTTTTAGCAAGAAAATAAGTACAGAAACCAAACAGCAGGGTTAGAGTTAAACTACGGTTTCTACCCAAAATGATTGCTACCATACTTCAGTAGATCACTTTGAACATTATTTCTGGAGGTTGCATTTGCCCCTGTGGATTGTATCCTCTCCCACAGAGCAGGCAGACCAGCCAGTAGCTCTAAGCACAGCCTCTGGGAGCTGGGAAACTTCTGTGTGAATTCCAGGTTCCTTCTCCCTCTTCATGCTTTTGCCACAGC